ATTTGGCCTTGAATGGACCATCCAGCCAGCCACCTCTGCCTCAAGGTAAGCCTCAGAGAGAGAGAGACACAGAGAGGAGCACACTGCAACAAACAAAAGGGGAATGAATCAATGAAAATGTGTGCACAGGCTTTTCAGGACCATCAGTGCAACACTGGCACATTCCAAGTGCAGCCGGCCATTGGAAATTATTAATATTTTTATTGAATTTTATATGTTGAGTAAATGAAATCTATCTGAGTGCCATTTCCCTTTAATGCTTTGCCATGCAGCGCCTTCTGAGAGGAAGGATTTTCAGGCACTCGAGTACTGGAGGATTGATCAGAAATAACATCCTTTTCTCTCTCTCTCTCTCTCTCTCTCGCTGCTTTCAGTGAAGGGTAGCGCCTCAAATATTGATCAAAGGTTCCCTTTGATCTTTCATTTTCTCTTATTTGTCGTGTTGTTCTCTCTTGAGAGTAATTTTAGGCTGCTCTCGATATGCGATTGAAGTCTATTTTTGGACGCGGCTCAGGTCTCGGGGCACATGCCACTTGAGCACGCCCCACGCCCGAATGGGGTGGCATGCCACAGAAAAAGAGCAAGAGAGAGGATGTGGCAGCGGGAGGCTGGACAATATTTGCCCGTTAGCGTAAGCTGCTGTTTTTTTTTTGTCCCTGTAGCGGGAACTATTTTGCAGTCATAATTCAAAAACTAACTTTTGGGTGGCCGTCGGAAGGGGGTGGTGTGGATGGGAGGGTGTGGGCGTGCCTGGGATTACATAAATCAAAAATTTTTTGGTCTGGCCAAAAGAAAAGCAAAGCAAAAAAAACGAAACGCAACGAAAGAGCTACCCAACTTTTAAGCAAACAAATATTAATTTTAACTTTTGCCGCGCCACTCTCTCACACTCACACTCACACTCGCACTCATGCCCACGCTCTCGCTGTCCCTCTCTGGCAATAAAAGTTGAAAAGAGCAGGAAAAAATAAAAAGTATTTGCTGCATTTAAACCATTAAAGATTGAGTAAAAAACGGAAAAACAGAGTGTTAATTTTTCACCCATTGGCATTTTAATGTGCCGTTTTTAATTGTTTTTTCAACAATATTTTCTGTGCGCGTCATGAATTAATTGCAGTGGGATGCTAAGAGAATGGATGAATATGTTCAGCAGCTGGCCCACACACACACACACACACACACACACACACACACACAAACACACACGACGACAGTTACTCCACCGCTGTGGCACCTCATTGGATAATGGTCTTCGGTGTTTCACCGATACATGTAAAAGCATGCTCTTCCATCGGTGAAAAAGCGTGAAAGTTTTCTGTGGCTCAACCTTAATATTAAGTAATTAAAATTCACACCGAATATGCTTAAGTTTACCGATGGTGTACAAAAACCATCGGTGGTTATCGTGTGGTGTTTTCCCTTTCTCTCTCTCTCTCTCTCTCTCTCTCTTGCAGTCTCTGTGCCTTGCTCTCTTTTGTGCGGGCTCCTCTGAGGCCCGCGATAATTCTTAACCGCTTGTTTATTTATGCGGCGTCCGGAAGAGCAACACAGGCACGCACCCACACAAAAGTACCCCCAGGGGAGCAGGCAGAGGGATTGGCGGGGCAGGAAGGATGCGCCCCAAAGAGGTAGAAAGATAATGTGTCCACATGTGTGTGTGCGCCAGTGCCTTTATTTATGCAACATGCATTTAAAATAAAATAAATATAAATTAAGCATAAGGCGCCAGCCCAAGCCCCCAGAGAGAAGAGACAACACATCGCTGAATGCCCTTCACGTTTCAGAAGACAGCGAAAGAGGGCTGAAAGATAGATAAGAGCCGACAAGAGAGTAATGGCCGATAGAGAGAGTGATGAAGAGAAATGGCGTTGGTGGAAGAGACTGAGAATAACGGCCACAAAGGCCCAGGAAAGAGCGCACAGCCAATGATCGTGCAGAGAAATCCTTCATTTAAAATTGCACGATACGTAAAGGAATAGGAAAAGGTTTTATCGATGGATAAATGTTTGAGGAACATTCCGTAATGAGCAGAAAAATAACTCATGCCCAAGGTGCCTCATCTCATCTGAATAGTTTTGCATGTTTGCTGCCAAAGAAGAGCATTTTCCAGTTGCCCCACCGTTTGATGTGGGTGGGGTGGTATTTTTTTTTATTGCGCGTATTATTCCGCACATTTTTTTCGGGCGCCGGCTTCTGGGGGCGTAGGAGGATGGGCGTTCGCCATTTTGTTGCCTTGCATTAATTGCAATGCAAAAAGGCAACGTCGCATAAATTTCTCGTATTTAATTTCGCCCGAGCCGCGGCAGATGCTAGCCAGAGATGGAGGAGATGCATGGGTGTATGGGGGGGGGGGGGTGATCTGAAGCCCAGGGGCCAGTTTAATGCACTCTCTGTTGCATGCACCCCTCTCTGCCACACCCACTGGCATTTGTGTGTGGCATCGTTTACATTAAATTATTTATGCACTCGACTGTGCACTGCGGCACTTGCGGCTGGATAAACAAACCAAAAAAAGGAAACCTTAAACAAATAGGGAGCAGGAACGACCACAGGATACCCGCTCCTCAAAGGAAAGGAAAAGGGATCTTGCAGCTAATTTATGTTTGAAATAATTCTGGGGAGGCATCACAGATGCCCACCAGCTGATGGGGAGGAAGGGAACCAAATATGCTTGTACCATGCGCATTTCGGGTTCCAACTTCGGGTCCAATATACCCCACGTAATCCACACTTCCCGAGAGCACTGGCTGCTCTCCGCCCCAAAAGAAAGCCTGATTCCCAGCTGCTGGCATTGTCACGCCCCAGAAACCAACTACCGCCCCACCCTTGGGCATTCCCCACTTTAAGATGTGGCCAAATGTTGACCGAACCATAAAAATGCTGAACAAATGTGCGGACATTGGCCATTAAGGTTCTTCTTCGCTGCTTAACTTGAACTTGGCCAAGGACTAAGCCAAGCTCTTGCCAGGTCCCTCCTGCCTGCCCTCTTTGTTACTGCTGGCCTGCATGCCTGCCGGCTGTCTTCTGCCTTCTGCCTTTCTGCCAAGTCAACTGAGAGAGTGTCCAATAAAATGTCAAAGAAAATGGCCAAGAGCCTTTTAATTGTAATGAAAATGAAAAGGAAAATGCTGCAGGGGGAGCTCAAACTTTTGCAGTGGATTTAAGTTTAAGGAGAGGCTGTCTGCCCCTGCCGCTCTCCCTCTCCATCACCGTCTCTCTCCCTCTGTCTGTGTCTTTTTGGCCATTGTGTGACCCCGTTACAAAGGGGTTTCATGAGCGTTTAATTGTCGGTAATTAGCTAGATGAACAATGGCCAACTTTTCAGCTGCGAGGAGGATGGCGGATGGCGCTGGAGCTGCAGCTGGAGCTGGAGCAACTTTTGTGAGTAGCTCGACAAAAGCTGTGTAGGGGTCTCCGCGCGGAGGCGAGGGACAAAGTTAACTCTCCAGAAAGAGCAGGAGAAGCCACTTGATGGGAAAACACTCAAGGGCAAGCGAAAAATTGCAAGACAAATCTATGAAACGATGGTTTTTTGTATCTTAGCTACTGATTTCTTAATCTAAATCCAAGTGGAATGATAGGCCCAAAGGTTCGTTTTGCTCAGAGATCACAGAGTTGATTCTCGGAATTATTCCTGAGCTGAGTCGAACCAAAACCCAATTAAAAATGACTGGAAAACGTATTTAACATTTGTATAAATTGTAATAAAAAATGTATAATCATTTATGGTAAACAAAAAAATGCCGCTTTAATTTCGATTGAAATTTGCTTTTCATTTAATTGACACTCACACAGACGCACACCCACACATGGGCATAATGAGCGAAGGCGAAAATTACAAAGGCCCAACAGTCCCCCCCCCCCCCCCCCCCCCCCCCCCCCCCCCCC